ACCGAGTTGAGCCCGTTTTCATTCAGTGTCATCAACAGAAAGAGAAAAGGGCAGGAAGAGACGATAAAGCCGACAAATTAAATCGAGGTCGATAATTTTCATTTGTCGTGCGATTCATTGATTTATTGTTTATCGTGACAGGCCTAGTGACCAGATCAAAGATCTGGTGCTGCTGCATCAACTTCAGACCTCTCAGGTTCTGGTTCTGGAGGCAGAGCAGAACCAGAACCAAACATGGAGCAGCAGCATTCAGCTTCTATGCAACAAAATCTGGAACAAACTTCCAGAAAACTGCCAACCAGCTGAAACCCTGAGTTACTTTCAGGCTAAACCAGCTGGTTGGAGTTTATTAGTAAGTGGAATGTTGATTATTATGGTCTAGATTGGAGCAGCTTGATGTCAGGCTGCTCCGCAGAGACAGACAATAGGACAGAAGGACGTTTGGTCGGAAGGACGGTTGGACAGCAAAGTCACGTTCCTGTGGTGCTGATTCAGACGTTCCCAGCATTCTTCTTCTGTGGTGTCATGGCGGCTCATCGTGACAGAGAAGCTGCTCGGCTGGTTCCTGCAGCAGCAGCAACTGTTACCATAGCAACATAATAAGCTGCTATGATGGGATGTTTTTACCTTCCAGGCGGCGGCTCTAACAGGTTCTGACCCAATCAGAGAGGCCGACGCTCCGACTGAGGGCTTTGGAGCGCAGGGGGCGGGGCTTACTGCTGCCTCCGCTGTGATTGGCTGACTGGGAGACCAGAGAGACCAGTGAAAACAGTGCACAGACTGGATCTACTGGATCCAGCCGCTGGTTAATTCTGCTTTATAGCTGCTGGTTTACTGGGAAGACTGGGAACTGCACAGCAAGGGGAACCAGAACCAGAACCTCCTTCAGTTTCCTGAGGATTAATTCAGCTGGCCAGTCGTCTGCTTCAAGGAAACCAGTAGAACCTAGTTGGCTCCATCATGGTGCCCCCCCCACTGATGCTGCCAACTGATTAGTAAATGTAATCAGATTACTCTGTGTGGCTCAGAGTAATCAGGATGGATCGCTGCCAGCCGTTCTGGTTCCAGCAGGAATGAAGACAAGCCCCCCCTCCTGCTGCACTCCAGCCAATCACATGCCAGCAACCATCTGGGATTTTCTGCAGCAGAAAGCAGTCAGCCTGTTTAGGGGACAGAGTTTATTTCCCAGTCCTCGGTGCACCAGCCCTTTCTGATGCCGCCCTGGGCAGCTGCCCATACAGCCACTGTTTGCATTTTCTAAATGTTTCATTGTCTCAAACCAAACATGTCTGAAGATTCTCAGCTCTCCAGGGTTTTACCTTCAGGACGGTTTAAAGGAAGCCATTTTGTTTTAAACGTTTAGAAACGTTCACTTCCTGTGGAACTGGCGCTTCGAGGCGACATCGACCGCCGTCATTCATGAAACTTCGAGCTCAAACACGTAGATGTTCACACTGACGATGCAACGATGCAGGAGCTCATCTGCTGTTGTTTCTCAGATCTGGGGTTAGGGTTCGCTGCAGCACGTTCCTGGACGATGAGTCGTCCCAGAACTTATTGCAATAAACGATAATATTGTTGCTTTGAGACCATTTCTAAGTAATATAACATTCTCACATTCTCAAAGCCCAATAAACTATAACTTCATATGAACATTTAACACTGTAAGACATTTTAAAAATCCAAAACAAAAAACAGAAATCAATAAAATGAATGAAGTGTGTAAATAAAAGGTTTATCAAACCAAAGCACCAGACTGAAAACTATCATCCAACGTCTGCAGAAAGAGAAAATCGTAAAAATGGAAATTATTTTTCTCGTTTTCATTCATCATGTGATTAATTGATTTATTGCGACTGGCCTAGATAACGTGTTAGTGTTTCAATTCAACTTCATTAATCCAAAGGCTAAATTATTAGTGCCCCTTTGGCAGAGACCCACAGCATGACAGATCCTCCGCCATGCTTCCCCCAGAGCGGCGGTGGTGGCAGCCATGTTGGCGACGGTGTGACAGGAAGCATATCTACTGGTTGTCATGGTGACCAGGTTTGGTCTCCAGCAGTGAGAACAGCAAAGCAGAGCAATGAGATTGTTAATGATCTGACAAACTGATCACTTTTCTAATCAAAATCATTCCCCACAGCTCGTTAGGGGGCGCCAAAACGTCATCCACCGAAGCCAATTATCTAATATAAAAGATTTCTGCTCAGTAACCCGTCTGAGTTTCCACAGCAACAAATTGCCAGAGGTCACTGAGGTCAGGCTGCATCCATCATGACCTGACTGAACGGGTCGGCAGCTGGAGTACCACCGGGTCGGGTCGGGACGCTGGATCAAGGCTGCATGTCCTGGCCCCACAGCATCACCCTCCCCTGCCGTGCTCCAGCTGTGTTTACCTTGAAGTTGCTGGAGTTGACCCAGGAACTGGCGATGGCGTCCACCATCTTGTCCAGCGCCGTCTGGTCCTGCTCCAGGTCAGGGGACTTGTCCCTGTCCAGGATGTAGTCGATGACTTCCTGTCCCACCTGCAGCCGCCGGCCCACATCCTTCTGCAGGACCTGCGCCAAGCAGCTCTCCATGCTGGGCTCCATCGGCGCGCCGGTTCTGACCGGACCGGGTCACGGACCCGAGGAACAGCCGGTAGCTCACTCTAGAGGGACGGACGCAGCGGGGACCTGGGAGCGGCAGCAATGCAGCATGTGTGGACAGCAGCTGGGGGGCGGCTGGTTCTGGTGGGGGGCGGGTCGCTGGATCAAGGATCCATGTCTTCTTCCTGCCACTGTCCAGCGTTGTCCTGGAGGGAAGAGACGAGGACCAATCAGAGTGGGACCGTCTGGGACCGGAAACCCGGCACCGGGCCGAGTTCGGGTCGGTTAGAGATATGAAGGTTCACTGGAGACAAAGATTTTGCCCAGCTCCAAAATCATGGCATTGCCAGAGACATTCTGAGCTGCAGCTCTTTTATTCACATTAGATCAGTGAAAAGC